ACCGGGCCCCCCCCACCCCCCCCCCCCCCCCGGGGGGGGGGGGGGGGGGGGGGGGGGGGGGGGGGGGGGGCGGGCCCCCCACAAAGGGGCGGTGGGAAACAGTTGGGGTTGATTTTTTTTTTATCCTGTTGCTCCCCCCCCTCCCCCCCCCGCTCTTCTCGGGGGAGGGGCCCTCTCTTTCTCCCCCCCCCCACCTTTTCCCCCCCCTCTTCTTTTTTTTTATTAAGTAGAAGAGGAAGGGAGAACACACTTTGAGGGGAGGAGAATTCTATTCATGGAGGTTATGGAAAAGGGGATGTAACCAAAGGTAGATGGGGCCAGACTAACCTGAGCTCTTTCTTTGAGCTGAGAACTGGTTGTTTAGAGAAGGGAAATGCAGCAGATCTAATATACTTGGACTTCAGTAAAGCATTTGATACGGTATCACGTGGGAAATTCTTAGCTAAATTAGAGAAGACGGGGATCAGTACAAGAATTGTAAGGCGGGTAAGGAACCAATTAAAGGGGAGAAGTCTGGAAGCTGAACTATGGGATCGGAGGGAGGTTCCTAATGGAGTTCTTCAAGGATCTGTTTTGGGATCCATCTTCATTAATCTCTTTATTAATGGTGTTAACCCAAAAAGTAGGAGAGTGATAACAAAACTTACTGATGATTAAAAAGCTGGGAAACATGGTCTGTCCAGAGGGGGTAGAATATTATACAGGAAGATCTGGATGACCTTGAAGACTGGAGTACCAGAAGAAGGATGACATTTAAAGGTACCAGGTGCAAAATCCTGCACTTAGGGTCTAATAAGAAGAATTTCTTCTTGATGCTGGGGGCTCATCAGTTGGAGGCGACAGAGGAGGGGCGAGACCTTGATGTGTTGGTCGATTATAGGGTGACTGAGCCACCCATGTGATGTGGCCATGAAAAAGGCAAATGTGATGCTAGGATGCATCAGCTGAGGCACTTCCAGTCGAGACAGAGAAGTACGAAAGTACATGGCCCTGGAGAGCCCTCCTCTAGAATCCTGTGTATGATTCTGATCATTCGAGAAAGATGAATTCAGAGTGAAACAGGTACAGAGAAGAGTTCTCAGGATGATCAGGGAATGGAGGGCCTGTCTCACGAGAGAAGGCTGGGAGAGCTGGGCTGGTTTAGTCTAGCAAAACAAAGGCTGAGAGGGGATCTGATGGCTCTCCATAAATACATCGGGGTAAACAGCAGGGAGGGTGGAGAGCTGTTCTCGCTAAAGGACAATGTAGGCCCAAGAACAAAGGCGAATCAACTGGCCAAGAACAAGTTCAGGCTGGAGATTAGAAAGTTTCTAACCATTTGAGGAGGGAGGTTCTGGAACAGCCTCCCAATAGGGGCAAACTTTATTAGTTTTAAGAGAGCATTGGACACATTTGAGTGTGACTGTATGAGAGGGTTGCTTGTGGGATGGGGGTGGACTGGGCAACCCTGAGGGTCTTGTCTGGTATATGTCTTATGGTCCCAAGTCTCTTGCTTCAGCTGGTCACATGCAGGGGTCAGGAAGAGATTTTCCTCGCCAGTGTATTCTGGGTTGGGCGGAGTGTGTGTAAGGCGGGTAAGGAACAGAAAGGAAGCCCTGCTGGAGCTGCGAATGGGTTTGGCTGGTGTGGGGTTGCAATTGGCGTGTTACTAATGAACGGTGAAGCCTTGAGTTATGGAGCTCACTCGAAGTGAGTGCCAAGGAAACCCGCACACCGCCCCGCTGTGTATCCTGTATCTGCCACAGAAGGAGTGAAGAGAATCAAGAGAGCTGTCTGGGGTGACCTAAGGCCAGAACCGCAGGGGGCTCTGGGGTGGGACTGAGGAGTATTGACAAAACTGGGCTAGCAGGGAGCTGCTGGTCGGGATTGAGGGGCATGAGATCTTTGTCTACAGTGAAATGGTTGTCCAATTTGGTTCCTAGTTTGATGTTTTTGCCTTCATCCCTCCACCTGCATGAGCAGCACAAACCTCTGTGCACTTGGCCTCTAACCCAGCCGCAGGGCTCTGTGCTTGTAGATTTCAACCATGCTTCGTACTTTGCTGTGAATATCACATTGCAGCTGCCAATGGGAGATGCTGCCAGGGATTTCTATGGAGCAGCAGATAGCCCAAAAGCCAGGGCTCCGACGGAGCCCCAGGACGACCCTGACAGCAGCGACATGGAGGAGATGGAGGTGGAGGAGATGGGAGAATGGGAGAGCGAGGAGATGGATGTGGATTAGAACATCTGGGATTTGAGAAGTGCTGGGTGTGCATATGGCACCATACGATGCACCCACACGAGAGGGGCTTCCTCACCTCTCACTGTTTAGAGAGCTAGGCATCTCAGGGGTTCTCTTATATATATTTTATTATTCCTTTCTTCTTTGCACTTACAAACTTTGAGCAGATTTAGGAATGAATGAATGTTCCGTTTCCAGTGGTGTCTTCATGCCAACAGCTCTGGGATTCGGACACGATACGGGAACAGTAGGGTAACGTGCATCAAATCTCTTCAATCCAGACAGCGTGATCAGCATGGGCAGCAGGTATCATGGGGCTGTGGGCACTGAGGTTGCAGTGCCCCGGGGCTGGGGTCTCGCCCCCCGACCTCTGCCGTCCAGTGCTGGGGCTGTGGGCTGTGGTGAGGGTGCTTTGGGCTCCTGCGGGGGAGAGGTAGGTAGAAGGGGAGGGAGGGGGGCAGAAGGGGAGTGGCGGGACCTCAGGCACAAGGGGAAGGGCCAGGGGCTAGGCTTCCTGGGTGGCCAACTCACTGGCAGCCCGTGCTGATCGGAGAGTAGACAAATGATCATCAGGCTTTGTGCTGACCAGGTCTAAGTCAGAGCAGCCTTGGGGCTGCTCTAATGTACATTCCGCTCCACATAGGCCCAGGTAAGCTGAGAATAGCTGTACTACAATGCCTTCTGGCCATGGGAAGCAGGGCAGTTGAGGCCTTTCCACCAGCCAGGGAAGCCTCTATCTGCAGGTATCCTCTGAGGGTATTGACCCTGTGACATTGCACTTCATAAGCTTTATAAAAATGTTTAAGTGTGAATATGATGTAACTGGAATATGCTTTATGCAAAAGGTCTCTATAAGTTTTGTAATGAGACCTTACAAATCTACTGAGTGTGTTCATCCTATTTGGATGAATGTGTCATTCTTGTATCTGAAATTAGGAATATGAGATATCACTCTGAGGTCCTACTGTAGTTATGCAAAGTGTGGGCCATTAATGGTGGCTTAGAATCTTGATGGCTCCCATTAGCTAGGACAACTGACTGTAGATGGCTCTGTTTACCTGCAAGCCTTCACTGCATAGGTGCAGGCCAGTCCTGAAAGAATGGAGGGGGGCTCACAGGACATGTGAACATGTCACATGATACTTGAATCCATCTTTAACCTGGTGCTTTTCCATTTAGAAGGAGGGGTGGAAACCAAGAGAGACCGTGAGAGGATTCCCGCCTTGTGCCAAAGATATCAAAGGGGGTGGAACAGAACAAAGGGGGCTGCCAGTCATAAGAAATCCCCGAGTTACCACCTGAGCTGGAACAAGGCTGTACCAGGGGAAAGGATTGGGCCCAGACTGGAGAGAGTCCGGTCTGGGAAAGAAGCTTATCAGGGTGAGATTTACGTGTATTCCATTTCTTAATGTATTAGGCTTAGACTTGCGTGTTTTGTTTTATTTTGCTTGGTAACTTATTTGTTCTGTCTGTTATTACTTGAAACCTTTTAAATCCTACTTTTTATAGTTAATGAAAGCACTTTTGTTTATTAATTAACCCAGAGTAAGTGATTAATACCTGGGGGAGCAAACAGCTGGGCATCTCTCCCTATCAGTGTTATAGAGGGTGGACAATTTGAGTTTACCCTGTATAAACTTTATACAGAGTAAAACAGATTTATTTGGGGTTTGGATCCCATTGGGAGCTGGGTGCTGGAGACAGGTGACCTGCTGAGCAGTTTTGGGTTAAAGTCTGCAGCGTTGGGGGTGTGGCCCAGACCTGGGTCTGTGTTTGCAGCTGGCAAGCATGTCTGGCTCAAGAAGGCAGGGTTCTGGAGTCCCAAGCTGGCAGAGAAAATGGGCTCAGAGGCAAATTCAGCACATCAGGTGACAGACAGGGCACTGCAGGTGTTCTCTTCACTCTGGTCAAATGCCTTGTGCGGGTTGTACCTGGGGGGTGCAGGGGTGGAATGAGCCGGGGACGTGTGCCTGTTTGAGTGATTCATAGCAGGCATACGAGGCACCTTTGGGGGAGCCTTGTCCAGGCCTGCCATGGGTCAGCTCTCTGAAACCACCACCCCTGGCAGCGCAAGCCTGACCTTCCAGCCCCCTGCAGGCCTCGCTCTCTGTGTACAGGTTAGCGATAGACACCCCCAACGCCTCTGAGCGTCCCTCGGGAGTGCTCAGCCCGTTCCCCGGAGCACACGCAGAACTGTGACTCTAATCCCACAGGCGCGGTCCACAGCAGCTTGTAAGATTCAATTCAGGCCAACCACTCTATTGAGAACCCAGCACTTAGATATACAGAAAACAGGAATGAGTTTATCATCAAAGAACAGAGATGCAAGCGAGAGTGAATAAATACTGGTAAAACCCATTGTTTCATGTTCTGTGTGTATATAAATCTCCCCATTGTATTTTCCACTGAATGCATCCAAAGAAGTGAGCTGTAGCTCACGAAAGCTTATGCTCAAATAAATTGGTTAGTCTCTAAGGTACCACAAGTCCTCTTTTTCTTTCTGCAAATACTGGAAAGTAATGGTTACATAGAAAACAAAATCCTAACACTTTCTACAGCCGGGGTTCTCACAAATTTTTGGCAGCCTCAGAATGCGGCTCTGACAATTCAGAGGCCTCACCAGCCAAGTCACTCAAACCTGCCGACTGCAATCCCCAGCGGGACCTGCACCTGCCATGCAGTGCTCGGCATGCTGCCCTCTCTAGCAGCCACTGATAACCTGAGCTCCCTGCTGCCTCCTTTCCCCGGGGGGGGGTCAGACACCCCAGGGACCTTGCTGAAGAGGGCTGGGGGAGAACAGCGAGTGTCCCAGCTGAAATCCCAGCGCGCTGCGAGGGCATCTCTGGCTGTGGCGGGCTCTGTCTCCGGCCCAGCTCCGTGCTGTGGGGAGGAGCCGAGAGTTCAGGGACACGCCGGCTCCCATCGGTCTCCGATACACACAGGACGCGAACGGACCAGGGTCGTGTCTGGTTGTTTCACTAGCACTGAGTGGTGGATCTACCTGAGCTCAAACAGCTCAGACACCAGAATCCCAAGCCCAGGGGATTAGTCCAGAGGGGCGAGAGAGACTCACAGGTCGTTGAATTCGGTGCCATTGGCCCATGTCCAGGGCTGACCCTGCTCCCTCCGGAGGCCGATCCAGTGGTCATAGACACCCTTATGGCGCAGCAGGAACGCCTTAAAGAAAGCCGAGGGACAGCAGGTATCAGCCCCAGCTCTGGCGCTTCCCCCACCCCTCCTGGGCTCTGTGCTGCAGAGAATCCCAGCCGCATATTCATAGAGTATCAGGGTTGGAAGGGACCTCAGGAGATCTTCTAGTTCCACCCCCATTCCCAATTAAATGATCCAACACATTTCTGCCCCATATCCCTAAATGGCCCCCTCAAGAATTGAACTCACAACCCTGGGTTTAGCAGGCCAATGCTCAAACCACTGAGCTATCCCTCCCCCCATATTGAAGGGTGCTCAGTTTATTTTCGGCGGGGGGGTGTGTTTCCCCTCCCTTTTGCAAAGTACAAGATCACCCAAGCAGTATTAACCCTCCCCCTGCACAGAGCAGCCCCACCCAGTCCAGTCACCCGCACCCCAAGTCCCCCTGGGCTGGGGGGAGCTGCTGGGTCTAAGCTCTCTGCAGAGACCTCTCTTCTCACAGATCATTCCCCGCTCACCACAACAAGGCAGAAGGAGGGAGCGAGTCAAGCTGAAGTGGGAGCGGTCAATGTGAGAGGATCCCCTCCTCCCCCCTCCTCAGCTGGCTGCTCCTTTCCCATCCCCACAACAGGAGCACTGGCTGGGTTCTCAGTCCCACTCCAGCAGCCAGCAGGCCAGAAGATGCCTGAGCCAGCCCTGCCCTAGACAGAAGCTGTCTCCCTATTTGGGGAGGGGGGCAGCTGAGAATGGGCAATCCCTGTGATCACACACAGACAGTAGGGCCCTGGGCCCAGCCAGTGCTGGCGTTCAGCCGCTGGAAGTTCATTCACTCTGGCCTCCCAGCACGGGAGGGGTCAGAGCTGCTCCTCACCCCGCAGGGGCAGAGCCCAGGTCCTACTGCAGCAGCCGCCGCTGAGCCAAGGCCAGTGTCTGGCAATTCGAGAGTCTCTCACCGTTTCCTGCTCACTGTCGATCCCAGCCAGGGAGGCACCCGCTGCAGAGCAGCGGCTCTGGCTGTCGGTCCAGCTCCCTTCCCTCTCTGAGAAATAGTAGCATTTCCCTCGGTATCCCATCCAGCCGTCCGGGCACAAGAGGCCAGCAGGGGGCACAGATCAGCTGATGAAAGCTGAGATGTCAGCACTGAGAATGAGACAGTCACATGGAGGGTAAGAGTTACACCTAGAATTGGGCATTTGACTGGTACAAAAATTGGTCAATTGAGTGTCAAAGAGTGGTCAGATATTTTAAAATACCAATTTATCAGAACAGTAACAAAAAAGAGCAAGACGTCATTGTCTCCAGTAGGTTTAGCTTTCAATAGATACGTATCTAAGTAATTTTTTTTAAAAATGTATTTCACTGAGTTATTTTAACTCAGAAAAAAAAGGCGAAACAATGAAACCAAGTTCTGAAAAACACAAGTGAGACTCCAAGACGCAATCAAAAAGGCAGGCTGCCACCTACCCTCAGGGTTCTTGCTGGAGTATTTGACTGCGGCCAAACAGGCAGTCAATTGACCTGCTTGCCAAGTCTACTGGGACCCCCAGCTGGGGCTGGTCCACGGCAATCAGACGCAGGAGGACGGAGACGTTTGTCACAGTAAATTTGCCTGGCAAGAAGGATTCCAGGGACACTCCCAGCCTGGGAGGGACTGACACAGCTCAGAGCATTTCACCCCAGGCACAAGATCAACAGCTGGACGTTCAACCTAGCAACAAACAGCAGGTGAACAACTGAGAAGAACTTGGGAACTTTCAAGCAGGGACATGAACGCCATAAGGGGCCGCCAGAAACCACAGCAACCGGAAGTGACCTGTTGCACTGTGGGCCAGGAATGATGGAACTTAAATCACCTCCTACCTGCGGACTTTTCTCTCCCCAAACACAGCAGCAAGAAAGGCACTTTCTGTAAGGCCTCACGGCAGTGTAACCCTTTCAGAGCCATGAAAGAGCAGCAGGGGGGTCACCCTTAAGTGACACCAAAAAGGATTTGAAAGGCCTGTCTAGTTGAGAGGAGTCGGACTCAAACCCCTCCAGACGTTTTTGAGCACATCACCTTTTTTTTGCACCACAGTAACTCGGTAGCTGGTTTTCAAGCCTTCCCATGTAGCTGGCGCTCAGCGTGGAACAGACACTCTGAGTCGGGAAGAGTTAGGAAACGTGGCAGCGGTGATCAGAAAACGAGCATGTGTTCATTCACGCACAAGGCATGTCTGACCCTCTAGATTTAACTGTCCAGTGCACGGTAGCCCACACCTCTGCCCTACTGAACTGAGCAGAGAAGTCAGTGACTAACAGTTGATGGCACAGGCTGTCTCCACCATCCATCTCCAGGTCAGATGCCACATGTTCTGCAGAGCTCCCTGCACCTGCAGGTGTGTAACCAACCCTAAGCTCACAGATTCCCACCTTACACAGTGAGAGCCAATGCTGCCCATTGCAATAGCCTGCCATTACAGCAGGGAGCTGGGATTCAGGGCCCATCTGTATCAGAGCAATCTGCACCAGTATAATCACAGTGACGCAGTGACATCCGGGCAAACACCTCCTGGAGATGCACTGGAGCAGTGTGGCTCGCTCTGGTAACTTCCTGCAGCGAACTGCACCAAGGCAAGCTCCTTTGTGCACCAGTGCAGTGCGTCTCCTTTAGCGGTTTGCACCAATTCAACTGCACAGATGTCATGACATCGGCACAGAGGATTCCTAATGCAGACAGACCTGGATTCAATCCCCTCTGCCAGCTGCTAAACCCTCCTCGGGCCCAGTGATCAGATCCCAGGGCAATAGAGAAATCCCACCCCCGACAGTCTCCAGCACGCCCTACCCCAGACAACAGGGGGATACAGCAGGGTTCATAAAAAGAAAAGGAGTACTTGTGGCACCTTAGAGACTAACCAATTTATTTGAGCATGAGCTTTCGTGAGCTACAGCTCACTTCATCAGATGTTCACCGCAAACAGATGCCCTCTGCATGAGCACACGCCGTCTGTGCAGCCGGGGGGAGTGAATGGTGCTACGGGAGCCTTCATGGCCACGCTCAGCGATTGGGGGGTTTCCACACTGCGCTGGTGGAGGGGTCTCGACTGGCTTCTACGGCTCATTTCAATAACACTGCAGCACCTGCCGCCCAGCCACAGGCGTGACCTGAAGATCCAGGAAGGCCAGGCTGGTAACCTCAGAGCAACACAGGGAAGGCAAAGGGCTCAGGGATGCACTGCACCCTGTCCTATTGGACACCCTGGTCAGGGACTGCTTCATGGCACATGGCAAAGGCGACTTGGGTCCAAAGTGCTCAGAGATGGGCTGGGGGGGCTAATGTCAGTCAGATCGTCCCGACACAGAGAGTGCCCAGGTGCAGGGGTCTGGGAGGGAGCAGGAGGAGGGTCGGGGAGGAACATCCCCCAGGAATCCTCTGTCCCAGGGGCAGAAGCCAGACAGGCCAGGAGGAGAGATCGAGCGTGGTAGGTCACGGGGGAATGGGATGCACGGAGATTGTAGATGGAGGGGAAGGGAGTGGGGCGGAAGCTGGGAACTCACCTGCCAGAGCAATGATGGCAGCGATCAAAGGAGACGATACAACTATCAGTGCAACCACAACTCTACAGGTTGGACTTTTCTTGCAGTTACAAGGAGGGTCTGAAACAGACAGACCCGTCAGGCAGGGCTGGGAGGACACGTCTCACTGACAGCACCAGGGCTGGAGCTGCCCTGGAACATGCACCGTTCTGTCGATTGCTCCTTCCCTCAGACGCTCTGGGAGAGGAGCCCTGAGTGTCAGGCAGACCCCCCCACCTCCAAGGGCAGATGGAGGGTCCATGGCTCCTGTCAAGGTTCCTCCCCCACTCTGAACTCTAGGGTACAGATGTGGGGACCTGCATGAAAAACCTCCTAAGCTTATCTTTACCAGCTTAGGTCAAAACTTCCCCAAGGTACAAAATATTACACCCGTTATCCTTGGAATGGCCACTACCACCACCAAACTAATACTGGTTACTGGGGAAGAGCTGTTTGGACGCGTCTTTCCCCCCAAAATACTTCCCAAAACCTTGCACCCCACTTCCTGGACAAGGTTTGGTAAAAAGCCTCACCAATTTGCCTAGGTGACTACAGACCCAGACCCTTGGATCTTAAGAACAATGAACAATCCTCCCAACACTTGCACCCCCCTTTCCTGGGAAATGTTGGATAAAAAGCCTCGCCAATTTGCATAGGTGACCACAGACCCAAACCCTTGGATCTGAGAACAATGAAAAAGCATTCAGTTTTTTACAAGAAGACTTTTAATCAAAAATAGCAGTAAATAGAAATAAAGAAATCCCCCCTGTAAAATCAGGATGGTAGATATCTTACAGGGTAATTAGATTCAAAAACATAGAGAACCCCTCTAGGCAAAACCTTAAGTTACAAAAAAGATACACAGACAGAAATAGTTATTCTATTCAGCACAATGCTTTTCTCAGCCATTTAAAGAAATCATAATCTAACACATACCTAGCTAGATTACTTACTAAAAGTTCTAAGACTCCATTCCTGTTCTGTCCCTGGCAAGAAGCACACAGCCAGACCCTTTGTTCCTCTCCCTCCTCCCAGCTTTTGAAAGTATCTTGTCTCCTCATTGGTCATTTTGGTCAGGTGCCAGCGAGGTTACCTTTAGCTTCTTAACCCTTTACAGGTGAGAGGAGCTTTCCCCTGGCCAGGAGGGATTTCAAAGGGGTTTACCCTTCCCTTTATATTTATGACACGCCCCCCAAATCTCAGCTAGGGTGAAACACTGGCTGGGATTTCTTCCTGGAGCTCTAGGAAAAACAGAGTTAATAAGACACATGCATCTCTAAATATACTACCAAGTACATAAAGACTAACAATATTTTCCACATCTCAAGGACGATTTTAACCAGTTGATTCTGGGAAACTTTCACGGGAGAGTGCATCAGCCACTTTGTTAGAAGCTCCTGAGATGTGTTGGATGTCGAAATCAAAATCTTGGAGAGCTAAACTCCACCGAAGAAGTTTTTTGTTAGTTTCTTTGACGGTGTGAAGCCACTTTAGTGCAGCATGGTCGGTTTGCAGGTGGAAACGCCGTCCCCAAACATATGGGCGTAGCTTTTCCAGAGCATAGACAATGGCATAACATTCTTTTTCAGTGACTGGCCAGTTGCTTTCCCTCTCAGACAGTTTTTTGCTGAGAAACACTACAGGGTGGAATTCTTGATCAGGTCCTTTCTGCATTAAAACTGCTCCCACACCACGCTCGGACGCATCTGTGGTTACAAGGAACGGTTTGTCAAAGTCTGGGGCCCTTAGTACAGGGTCAGACATGAGTGTCGCTTTAAGCTTGTTAAAGGCCTTCTGACACTTTCCGGTCCACTGAACAGCATTTGGCTGTTTCTTTTTGGTTAGGTCTGTCAGTGGGGCAGCGATTTGGCTGTAGTGCGGTACAAATCGTCTGTAATAACCAGCCAAGCCTAAGAAGGATTGAACCTGTTTCTTTGACTTTGGGACAGGCCACTTTTGGATAGCATCCACTTTGGCCTGTAGGGGGCTGATAGTTCCTTGACCCACCTGGTGTCCAAGGTAAGTCACTCTGTTTAGGCCTATTTGACACTTCTTAGCCTTAACAGTTAGTCCTGCCTCCCTTATGCGCTCAAGGACTTTTTGTAGATGTTCCAGGTGGTCTGCCCAGGAATCCGAAAATATGGCCACATCGTCAAGGTAGGCGACTGCATATTCTCCTAGTCCCGCTAGGAGACCATCTACAAGTTTTTGGAAAGTGGCGGGTGCATTTCGCAGCCCGAAAGGGAGTACATTAAATTCATACAGCCCGAGATGTGTGATGAAGGCTGACCTTTCCTTGGCAGATTCATCTAGCGGTACCTGCCAGTACCCCTTGGTTAAGTCCAAGGTAGAGATGAACTGGGCCCGTCCCAGTTTCTCTAATAGTTCATCTGTGCGTGGCATTGGATAGTTGTCTGGGCGAGTTACAGCATTTAGCTTACAGTAGTCCATGCAAAAACGTATTTCCCCATCTGGTTTGGGAACTAGAACCACTGGAGATGCCCATGCACTTTCAGAGGGGCGGATTACACCCATCTGTAACATATCC